GCATTATTCCTCTTGCCCAAAAAGGTAAGGGATATAGAGATTAGATTAAAGGGAACCCAGCAGAGAGAACTATGGGGAGATAGTGCAGGGACCAAGGGATGCTGGAAAAGTATTAGCAACAGAGCACGTACAACTAAACCTCATCTTCCTATTTATAACAGGAAGCTGAAGGAGCATATTTTTTTGCTATTCCTACTTGTAAAATATTTGCATGCTGTAAACATTTGTAAGCCATTAGCTATAACCAACAGCACATGCTGTAACAACAAAAGCTAGGTTTGTTACAGCCATGAGAATACTTTCCAGTGAAACCACAGAGAAGTAGGCGGGACAGGATCTCAGGGACCAGTTGAGGCATTGCCAAGCAGGGGCAGGTTCACAAACATCCCGACAAAGATGCAGCAGGTGACTGTCAAACCCTTCCTAAAAGGACACTCAAGTGAAGGGGAGTCTGTGACCTCCTCAGAGTTAGGAAGCATCCTAACTCATTCTGCCAAAATCCAAACAACAACTTTTCCTACAATCAGCACACAGAGATTACACATCAACAGTTTGCTCCTCTCAACCATTTAAAAAAAAAAAACAAACAATATTCAAGTATGTAAAAAAAACAACCAACCCAAACAGCTACTTGCCTGCCTCTTGTTTGTCTAAACAAATTCTTTCCTTCAAGGTTCTTCCCAACTCACACCTTCCAAATGTCTTAAGACCTCTGTTACTGTCCTATAACAGATGCCTCCCCTGATCTTTTTTTTTTTTTAAATGGGAAGTACTATTGCAAATTACAGCAGTTTTCTTTTGATCTTTTTCAGATGCTGTCAGCTCATTCAATTTATAGTACACTGTAAGCCCTAAAACTATGTCTTCTAATACAACTTACTCCCTATTATGTACTTGCACATTTTATGCTTCTAAATTGCAACAGTCATCTCTTACATTTTACTTTGATAACTTTGGCGATTTCCTCTAGTTTATCAAGGTCATTTTGAAATAGTGTCATATATAGTGAAGTGCTTAGAGTTGGTTCAGAAAACAAGTCTTATTCCTCCCCTCCCAAGAATTATTTTCACTCGGAGTTCACATAACAAATGGCTCCGAATGTTTATAAAGACATCAGATTAAATCAAAACTATTTGATTTGTGGAAAATTCCTATCAGCTAAATGGGTTTTTAATTAGACAAAAATCTAGTGAAAGAAAAATCAACACCTACATAAAAAAAAGCAGACAGACACCTATTTTTATTTTGTTTTCAACAAAAGGCCAAGACAGATGGAGTACTAAAATGACTTCATCTGACTAAAGCAATGTTAAACAATAGCAGAAGCCATGGTAACACTATGTACTTCTCATGATATACTGGCAGGTGAAAAGATAAACCATCTAACAAGGTAAGAAATACTTTTACCTCACATTTCAGAGATAACTTATCTGTAGTCTGCACCAGTTTCCTATAAGGCCCATTTTCTCTTATAGCTTTGTACATCCCTGTATTTTTTGTGCACATGAAAAAGTGTTGGAGGGATGAAAAAGCAGTGTTCCCTAAAATGTGTCAAGAGATGTACAATATCACCACAAAGACAGGCCAATAAGGCACACCTCATGCACTTTATTCACATAAACCCTTGACACCCAAGACTGTATTTCTTCCTTTGTTTGGAATTGCTACACAGTTACTAGGTTATTCTAGCTGCCCTATTTGCAGCTCTGACCAATATAAGCTTTTTAAGTTTCTTCATAGTTAAGTGTGCTTGTGAGGTTTATCACTGTGTTTCTGTACTTCTACTGAAAGAATCAAGAACACTTCAATTGCCTCCATCCTCTCCCTGCACTCCTAGATCTTTAAGTAGTACAAATTCATAGCAAATCAGGAAAGAAAAAAAAAAAAAAAAGTCGGAGGAATCTCAAATTCGCCAGTCTGGTGATTAAGGTCCTCCTTCAGGAGGCTAGAAAAATCTGGTCCTGATTTTGTAATACAAGATGACCTTCTATTTGCTTTGGTTTTCACATGCTTCACTTAAGTATCTGCAACAGCCACTGTCAGACACATCAGCAAACCTAAGCCTTTAGCTTGACCCAGAATTGTTTTTGTTCTGTTCTTAAAAAAAATAAAATTTTTAAAAAAATCTTCAAACCAGAACCTGTTTCAAAAGAACGTCATGGACTCTGCTATATTATGTGCAAAATCTGTCCCAGTTGAAATGCTATGAGAATGCTTATTACACTGATTTTTTCAGGAAAAAGATATGAAGGAATAGCTAGTTTGCAGACACAAAGACTGAAACACGAATGGAAGTCAAGCTGCTCAACACCCTTAATGCTCAATTCCAATGAAGCATACTTTATGCCCTGCATTTTGAAACCAGGCAGTTATGCTTGTGACCTCTTCCACGGGCCCAGCCTTCACCTAGTAAAGATAATGGGAGCAAAGGTGCTGAGCACAACAGAAATCAGTAGCAGGGGGAAGGGCAAAAACAACACACAGGAATCTTTTCAACACCCCAATTATTTTCATATTTTAAAAGGAGAAGGAATGTTTTTTAATAATGTAAACCTCAAATTTGACCCAGTTACATACATTCATTTTCATGATTTATACAATTATTGCATAAGACCTGCGGTCGTTTACATCTTCCAGTACAAGTGACATTAGGTACCACAATTTTGTATTAAATTCTAGTTACACTTTCAGTCAGTTACACAAATGTGAAACAAGAACAAGCCTAAGACTATTCCCCTCAGAAAACCTTCTTCACATTCGTCCAAATACAAAGATTGCATAACGGAGACAATTATGATGTTTATGATAATTCCACACCAATTCGTGTTGCTTTGATAGATTATAGGGGAATGTAATGGCAAAAAACCCAACCAACCCTAAAAATCCAACCAAAAAAAATCTCACACAAAAAACCTTAAGAGACAAAAAAAATTTAACTTTCAGGCTGGTAACAACTGGCCACTTCCTTTTTGGCAAGGCAAATCTACTTCTCTAAGTATTCAGAAAAGTGGAAAACAATAACAAAAAAATTTTCAGCAGAAAGGTAAAATAGGGTATTTAACCTCTGGTAATAAGTGCCAATAAATTGGTGGCATCGTGCTAGAAGGAGCAGAAACCATCCTGACATAAAACCATACTGAAAAAAACCAACCCAAATCTAGAAAAACTGTGTGCTGATACCTTTATCTACTTGCCACAATGTGTGTTCTAAGTGCATGACTGAAAATAAGCATGGTAACGCCACTGAAACCAGTGCAAGTGGGTGGATTATTCTGGAACAGAGACAAGAGTCTGAACACAGACAAGAGCATGGCTTAAGAGGCAAGATTACAGAAGTAAAGAGAGATTGTTGGGGTGGCTCAGAGCTCAGTTCAGATCTGTTCCACACATATGCAAGCTACAATGCTTTTTTCCACAGCACAAGGAAAATATAAGCAAAGACAAAGAAACAGAAAAGAATCACTACGCAACTTCTAAACAGAGACACAACAGTGCAGAAATATGCTTTTGAGCTCAAATGCACCATCACCCGAGCTATTTTCCCCTCCCTAACGCAGGAAATAACGAAAAGACAGATTCCCAAAAAAGAGGAGGAAAAGTATGCAGGATGACTGCTTGGCACTTTTCAAAAATGTTTTGTTATCTAAAAAGGATCAAGTAACTTATAAATAGTAGCAGTGATTTATGGGCAATTACCTTGCCCAAGCCTTGGTCAATCCAGAGGTGATCACAACAACATCTGTTTTGGTGACAAGTGTCTCAATGACAAGTCAGCACCCCAAACCCTAGTTTCATTTTTACACATAAAAATAGTAGTTGGGATTGATTCTATTCTTCATAGTGATTGACTAAACAAACCCACTTTTTTTAGAGGAATACTAAGGGATAATGAAAAGCACATGGACACGGTTAACTGTTAATTCTCCACTTCACATGTTTTGACAAAGTTGTTTACAGAAAAAGTATTACTCAGGTGAAAGCTAGTGGTATACAGTATGTGGTCATTAAGCCATAAAAGAATGTCATCTTGCAGTACTAGTTGAACGCTTTCAATTCCCACAGATGAAAATTTCAACTGCTAAGCACTTTGATTATCCCATTCAACCTTTTTTTCTCTCCTCCCTGCCCTTTAAGTGGGAGACTTGCAGTGATCATGGTGCTACATTCCGGCCAAAGTTCATACTTCTCAGCTTTTTCACAGAATATGATACAGTGTAGAACAGGACTTGGAAGAAAGTAAAAGGAAGAGGTTTACTGAAAAATAACATGAGAATATTTACTCTAATATTTACCACATCGAAAACCACAAGTGCAATTGCTCCAAAGTTATAACTGCTCTCAAGGTTACCAGCATGATGCAACTAGCATGAACCCTAGATCAAAAACAAAGAAAAAGAGAGGATCTGCAAAGTAGGCACTCCCTGTTACTAGGTTGAAATTGATTGTGTTCTGACATGATCAGCTCCAGAAAACTGGTAAAGCATGCTGGTGTCACTTTTCAACAACAGTTGTGTTTCAACTCTCACTACAGAAAGATTAAGGATTTTGTTCTGGTCCTGCCTAATCCACCCATGAATTGCAGGGCACAGCCCTTGCCACGCACGCCTACCAGAAAAGGCAGTTTCATTTTCTTGTGCTGAAAAAAAGTAGCAGGCTTAGTGGTTACAAAATTCATGTTTTAAAGTGCACTGTCATTTTAAATACATTTCCCCTTCTTAAAAAAAGAAAATAAAACATTCTGATACCAAGTTTATAAAAATAACAGCTGCAATATTCTTCTAAAATTGCAACTTAAAATCAAGTCAAATTAGCAAGATCCAAACCTTTTTCAAAAAAAGATATGAACCAAAAATAAAAAACCCTTTCTGCAGAGAATTGCCAAGCAAAACCTCACATACAAGCCTCTCTCCTAACAGCACCTCACAGAAAATCCATTCAGTTTCTTCCAGCTGACAACCTCAAGAAAACAGAGGTCTAAATAAATCAGTCCTTCCCACCAGTCACCTACATAACTGCAGGTGTGGATGCTGGTGCAGTTTTTCCATCAACTCTTCCTCTGTAGGTTCTTCCAAAACATCTCTACAAAGAAAAAGCATGAGTTGTTAGAGGCAGCAAAGGGAACTTCTCAGCATTTGTTTTTGCAATGCACATACTGAGATGTGCTGTGTGCTTGTTTCAAGAATGAAACAAGGAATTAAAGTTACAATAAGTTGATGTTCCCTAAAGATGCATCTACTTGCAAGTGATCCATCCTTTACAGATGTGTCATGGAAACCAGCAGCTGTTTTCCCATAAGAAGCAGGGAAGCAATTTCCTGCACACAGTACAATAGCACTGAAGGTCAGTGGATTTGTTTTCCTGAAAAAACTCCCCAGTGAGAACATGTTCCCAATGCTACTATTGAATATCCAGCATGCACCAGAAGTTCCACTTGCGCATGATCATCAAGTATCAACTCACCACCCGCAATTTCATAATAAGCCAAGAACGTACATTACTTCCCTCATTTTCCCGTTTCTTCCCCCTCTCAGCAGAATGATCCCCCCTCAGGCCCAACACCTCTTCTTCACCCCAACACATACATACTACTAGAAAGCACATAAAGCTTAGGCTACCAAGTCAGCTTAAAACAGAGGCCTAAGTAAAGCACTTCCTGAATTTCTCCAAACTAACAAATGAAACAGTTTGCTTCAGAAGGAGGAAAAAAAAAGACAAACCTTTTACTCTCTTGCAGCCAGCACGCTTTCTTTAAAACAGACGAACATAAAAAACTAGATCAATTATGAAGCCTAGTTCAACTCACCTGAACATTAGTTCAACTGTCCTCTGGTATTCAATATCTGAAAGAGGCTCTCGATGACAGCGACGGTCCCACTTGTGAATAAAGTTCTGAAACGTAAAAGGAATGGGAAAAAAAATTACAGGCCTCTTCTAGTGACATCAGAAAAGAGGTTATATCAGGTCAACTTGTTTGTGAGTAAAGTTTGGGAGGGGGGTAAGGTTTGTTTTTAACACAGATTGGCACAGCAGTGATTTATTTAGGCATCAGCATATTTATTGGCTGCAGGTCACTACTTTATTCAAGACTTTTCAGGAATGACATAACTTGCTCATCACACACTGAGAGAACAGTAGAGCGGAAGACAGCCCTGCTGCCTTCTACTCCTAGCAAGGACTGCCTCCCTGAGATAACTGTGTGAACTACTCGCAAGAGTTCACCTGCTTTGAATTTTTTCCTCTTTAAAAACCCAACAAATATATAAACATACTCCTAGTCCAGGCACCACAATTTAAGCTTAGCTCCTGGTTTTGTCATGTTACCTTATCCATTTTGAGTTACTATGACAAATCAATAACTAGTGAGCAGACAGCTCAGGCAAAAAACAAAAGGGAGGGAGGAGAAAAATAGTGACATCCTGCTCTCCTGCTACAGAACACTACATCTTGGCTCTCACACCAAACTTTGGCCACAGCCCTGTGGAAATAATCATAGGATTATCCTCCAGCTAGAACAGAATGTCCTTTCTAAAACGCTCATGGGCAAGACTGAGGCTCAGCATGACACTCATACCTAAGTTTCTGTCTAGAAGTCCACCATTCTGCCTACAGTAGTAAATTTTAGCTCTCAGCACAGTCAACGACAAGAAGAGCATCTCCAAAAGAAATTTCACAGGTTTTAAGATGGGGTGAAGTACCCTATACAGGTACTCAATTTCTTCCATCACTTATCAGAGAAGTCTATAATGATTAACCTGGAGTACATGGCTATGATTAACGTTCCCTTCACCATCAAAAATTCAAAAAGGTATTTGGATTCGCAGAGGAGTACACATACACGAGAAACCAGTGGAACTGCATGGCCTTCATGGCATTGCTTAGATGCCTACATTTCCACAGCTTCTTTAAAAACCTCTAGAGGATGATCTCTTCAAAATAAGTAATCTGTTCCACTCTTCTAGCATGGTACTGAATAAGGGTAATAATTCAAATTGGGGAGGGAAGAAACACAGAGCCACCGAATAAAAATGTAAACTTTAAAGCACTAATTCATTTGCTTACAAATCAAAATGCAAAACGCCTGCAGCTTGAACAACTAATGCCAAAGTTAAATGCTAATTTACAAGAGACAAGCAGTTTTATAACACAAAATATTTTCCATCTTTATAGAGAGGAGCTGTAATGACAAACGTACACATTCAATGAAATGCAACCAAATTTGTGACAAAGTTGCAAGTAAAATATACAGTTTTCTAGGAAAAAGAAAATGCTTCCTCAACATCTCAGGGGAAGGAGGCAAGAAGAAAGATTAAGGAAGCATACACATACAAAACGAAGATACTTTTCCCAAAAAGTTGTCGGGGTTCTTTTCATTTCCCACACAAGTCAGACAACCTGTCTTCATGATGTAACAGCAAATAAACACACTTCCTTACCTCTAGAAGTAAAGCTACAAAGAGATTAACCCAGATGACAGAGGAGATCAACCACCAGGCTACAAAATAGACCTTTGCCCACCTGCAGATCAGATTAACAGACAGTAAGTAACGTAGGCAGTCAATAACCACAGCCTCAAAGTGACCCAAGAGAGCCATGAAATCACTTTTCTTCTTGTAAGATAATACTACATTGTTCTTTATGTAAAAGCAGGTCTGGAACAACAACAACAAAAAAAATCTTAGCTTTTCGTTAAGTTAGCCAGACTCAATCCCCCCACTTCACATACTGTGAAGGGACAGAAAAGCAGCTTAGTAGAAGCTGTACTGTACTGGATCACAGCAAAAGATCCATCTAGGCTAGTATCCTCTGAGAGTGCTCAAAAGCAGAAGCACAGGAGAGAGTGCAAAAACATGGCAAAATACCTATGACGCTACCCCCTAAAGTGCTCTCCCAAACTCCAACCATTTGCAGTTCAGAGATTTCTTGAGCCAGAGACAGCCTCCATTCATTGCAGATCCCAGTGGATTTCTCTTTCATGACTTGTCCGGTCTTCACCGGACCATGTTAAATATTTATCACACACAACAGCCTGCAGAAAAGCATTCCACAGCTTAACTACATGCTGGGTTAACCAGCCAAGGTTCAGTGGAACAGCTCAGCCCAGAGGCTCTCCAGTTCATTCACACATTCCCATAAAGTCAACACAGATGAAAGATATGTCCAGGGCTTTAAGTCTACAAAAAAATTGTTCACCCACAGGGAAAACACAGAAGCAGCCCCAAATGATTTACAGCAATTCATTAATATCTCAGTTCTGTGAGATTGGCTCTGCAGTGAGTGCCACCTACCCAAGCCATGCTGCAAGCCTGTTTATAATCCACTTAAGTCATTCTCTCTTTTTTGGAACACGACGACTACTAAACTAGTTTCCAATCCCTTCTAAATGTGACCACAGATTTCAAGGCATCCACCAAGCACTAGACCAATCATCAAGTTACGCAAGTTAAACTTAATACTTCTTGGCTGTTCTTTATTTCCTATATACCCAAATCGACCCAAAGGAAAGGTAAGCGGCACCCCTCCTAGCAAATAATAGGAACTATGCTGTGTGCATAGTTCTTGTTCAGTTAGCTTGTAAGCTAGATTGATATGGGACTTTTTCAGTATTATTACTGCTACTTACGGACTCGAATATCTTGAAAACGCTTCCAAAAAGACTTGCCAGTTGTTTACCACCATCACATCCCAGAGGGTCACCACTGCTGCCTAAATAACATGAGTAAAACAGAAACTGAGTAGCTATATCACACACTTAAGCCTCAGAAAATGAGGGGAAGAGACAAGCAGAGAAGGAAAGAGGGGCGGATTCCATCAGTGATCAGACTCACGGCAAAGTCGTCAAAGTTGTTCGGCCAATATTCCAGCTGTTCGTAGGTGCCACACGGCAGAGTGCCATTATCATATGTTGTATTGACAGCACTATAAGAGAATTATAGGCTGATGTGAGCATAGCTTTTTACGTACTATACCCTAAAAACGCAATTCTTCCAAGTGCCTTAAAGGAAGTTAAGTCTCATATGGGCAGAAAACAAGGGAAGTAGTTAAAAAAAAAAATTAAGCGACAGCAGGGTAAAATTTCAAGCTACAGATAGGATTCCTGCAATTTCAATACAGCAAGATGCAGCAGCAGGAGTAACAAATGAAAACAATCTGTGTGATTTAACATTAAAAGAAGGGTGGCTCCAAGAGGGGGGAAAAAACCCCAAGCCAACCACAAACAACTCAGAGGTACTGAGTGGCAGATGCTTTTCAAAAACAGGTTCTTTCCGAGTAGCGATGTTTGAAATGTTACCTGATATTTCCCATGGGAACAATAGCACCTTTAAATAGCATTATGCCAGTTATAGCAAATGCATAAAAAACCACCTGGAAGAAATATAAACATGTATTAGTTTTGAATATTTCTGTCTCTCAATAAGAAAACAATGCAATTAACATGAAATTCATATTAGTAGTTCAAGGAATTTAGTCAGGAACAAAGCCTGAAGTTATTAAAGTGAAAATACTTCTTAGTATCTGTATTTACTTAACCGTTTGCTCTTACTTTTTAATATTCTATTTAACTTTTGTTTGTTACAACACATTAAATCATTTTACTTTATGATCTGTTTTACTTTTCTGTGTCTCAGAATGCTGATATTTAACTGTTAACACTGCAGAATAGTGACTTAAAAAACCAAACAAAAAAACAATACATGTATTTACAAGGAATAACCTAAATATCTGGGGAGCTTTCAGCTAGATTCAGCAAAAATAGGCTTTTACCGAACCTAACTGAAGGGCAAAAAGAAGTCACTATTTTATATTACATCAGCAACTTCTTGGAAAATGTTATATTGGTCTGAAAATAAAGCTTTCGATAACACGAAGGCTCTCAGAACTTCTTTCACTTGTTAGAAATGCAAACCTCTTTTTAAAGAGATACCTTTCACAGTCTTCAGCAGTTGCCTAGGTGATTTTACAATTTTTATCATAAAAAGATTGTTCTGGAAATAACCTGCAACTTCACTCCTCTGCGTAAAGAGCCATTTGTCCTAGGATGTCTTGAAACAAGCTAAGTCTTCAAATGAAAATGTCATTAGCCATATTTCTGTATTTTGCTACAAAACAGACCCAAGAAGGAAGTCTGGGAGGAGTAGAAGAGACTGCTCTGACCTATGAACCACAGCACTTGGAACACCACTGGAATAAGCTGAAGCCGACATTCCAGAGCCGGCCAGAAGATGGGGTATCTGCCTTGGCAATAATAATGTTATCCTTTGAAAGAGAAATGCCCAAAACATGGACTGCCTAAGAAATTAGCTCATCAGTGTTATTTCTTTATCAGCATGTGTTCCAGGCTAATATTAGGGAACATGTTTTGTATCAGCTGATAATGGAGTCAGACTTCACTACAGTAGAAGCTCAGTGTGAGCTTCTACGTAGCCTCAAGTAAAAGCAAATTAAATTAACAGAAGTAGCAAACACCATGGCAGACTTGCCTCACAACTGGTGCAAAACCACAATTCACACTCCTGGCACTAAGGACACTTAAATCACTTCAAGATCATTATGTCTTACATATATGGGTAGGAACACCACATTGAAACGCTAAAGCACAATTCCTAAAAATAAAATCAAGCATATTACTACAGGATCCTGCCATCTTAGCTATGGCTTTCAGGAATGAAAAGAGCTTCCAGCAGAATCCCACAGCTCAGGTACAGTCATGCCAGTGGCAACACAGCTTTGGGGTCCTAGTGTAAAGCAAACGTGTGCTCCTTTAGCAGGGTGTACGTACTTAACCACGAACTGGCAAAATTAGCAAAGCTGCAGTCAACCTTTAGAGAGTTTATTACATTAAGTCAGTTTTTCATTATAGTAAAGCTGTTCCTATCATATGCAAGATTGGCATTTCGGCTCCTAAGATGTACTTTCACCTGCAAAGGCTAACTTCCCAGTCCATGCACTCCCAAGGTATTTCTCAGTTTCAAGAGTAGCTCCCAGTGGCAAGCGTGACTTGCACAGCACAACAAAGTTCTTATCAACTCAGCTTTGCCCAAACCAGTATCTTTATTTCAAATTGCAACATAAACCTTTCCAGACTGTAACTTAAGGTCGCTCCCCTACAGATAAAAGCGGTGATTAGTAATGACAAAAACAGATATTCTGGGTAAACTGCATGATAAGTATATCGACTAGAACAACTGTTTCAACAATACTTAATGCACAGCAAATGCTTGGTCTCTAACCATTACCTCAAATTAACGTATCCTAAAAACAAATAAACCACAAACAACAACAAAAAAAGCCACCCAGGCACTCATTTGCAGTACCAAGAAGACATCGTTGCAAAGCCAGAAACTCGAGAGTTGGGAAATGGAGGATTTATGTAATGGACATCACACATTGTGATCCATCCTTTAATCACATGTTTACAGACTGTATGCTCTACACTGACACACCTAAAACAGGATGGCAGAGGCTTTTAAAAATCACGTCCAAACATGCCATCTCAACACCTTCTCAACTGAAAACAATTTTGAAGTTGTTTTGCTATTTAACATAATAAGCCAGGGAAAGGAAAACTAGGCTACTTTTACTATCAGATGAATTTTTATTTGAAACTAGAGTATCCAGCCTGAGACAAGCAGTCTGTGAATGTTTTAAGTAATCTTTTAAAGGCACTCCTAAAGGAAACCAATAAATGAGGCACTGTCACTGTGTGCAGCCCATAACAAAACAGTAGTTTGCTGCAGATTTGCAAGACATGCCCTGGAGAAAAACTGGCTGATTAAGGCGAAGTATTACTGTTCACGGTGATTGTCCTTCAAAGAACCTGGTTTACTTTGTTGAAGACATACCCTTATTATACTGCGAACTACAAGAAATGAAATAACAATCTTGCATCATGACTTACCACAAGGATTCCTGCAAAGGCTCTCAAGTTTTTTACGAGATCCAGCAATGTAGTAACAACCAAAGCCATGAACTAAAACAAAGTAGAATTTTATATGCATGACATTCATCACACTTCCAATCCATATCAAATTATTTCTACTAAAAGGACAAGGAAATATCAACCAGGAAAGCAAGCTATACCTAAATGCAAGTCATCTTTTATGCAGTGGTATTTCCATGAGGTACTTAAGATGAATGAACAATGCTGTAGTCCTTTTCATACACAGACATTACGTTAAGTTTTAAATATACACAGGCACTGTGACTTAAAGGGCTATATGCCTAGTAAGACCAGAACAGAGAGGAGGAGAAGAGGGAAAAAAACCCCCAACTAGTAGCACCCCACAGCTCCAGGCTGACTGGTTCATATTTGATCTACATCATTTCTAGTTTACGATTTCCACTGACATTATGACCTCTGATTGGTTTACTAAACTGAGATACAGGTCCTGTACCTGACATTGATTTGGGCTTAGCTTTCAAGCAAATCTAAATGCAGGATTATAACAAATGATCAAATAACTCCAAGTGATTTCAGATTCAAGTACGGGTATTCTGGTGGAAATACCCGTACTTGGAAAGTGGAAAGAGGAATTCATTCCAAATAATCCTTTGTACGACCAAAAGGTCTGGCGGTATCCAGTGAAAGCAAGTCTATCACCTCCCAGGTGCCAAGTTCTTAAAGGGTATCATACCCACTCATCTGAGACTGAAGCACTACGCAAGTTACACAAGTGTTTCTGGATGTGTTTGCCCGCTTTAGAATACCAGCATCAATTGCAGTGAGATCAACAGAACTTTCCTGCCACCTCAACCAGCTAAAAAGAGAGTGAGTTTGTGAGGTACTGTGCAATAGTCTGGACAGTTAGAGCTGAGTTACAATCCCACTTAGGTGCAAGAGAATTGCAATCTACGTGTTATTCTGAAAGGCTTTAACAAAATAAATAATTTGGCCAACAAAGAAATCAGAAGTGTGGAGGGATAAACAAACACCTTCATATTAGGAATAATGCGCAGGAACCTGAACACAATTAACATGTTCACCAGTCGCACCATATCCCAGAGGGATAACAAGCCCATGAACTCAGGTCTCCTAGGAAAGATGGAAGAAAATAACAAATCAGAGAAACAGTCCATGACCGAAAGACATAGTTAAATCTACTGGGCTGCAGGTGACTGTAAAATCCTCACAATTTTTGGTTAACATCCATGGCATATTAAAAAATCTGGGGAGATAATAAAAAATAATAATAAAAAAGGAGTATTCTTTCCTCATGTAATCACTCTTTACAAACTATGACCGAGTAGAACACTGCATCCAGTTTTGGAATCCCCGATAAAAGAAAGGAACAAACTGCAGCAAAATCATCAGAGCGCCAACAAGATGGCCAGGGACTGATGAACCTGCCCTACAAATAGAAGCTACAGGACCTCGGCTTGTTCAGCCTGGAGAACCCTGCTTCAGGAGGATCTAGCAACAGCCTTCTAATACTTATGAAGTAGTCCTCAAGAAAAAAAGAAGCAAGACTGTGTGGTGGTGCACAGTAGGAGGGCAAGAGACAGTAGGTCTAAGCTGAAACAGTGGAGACTCACACTAGATATATGGAAGAGCTGAAGAACTTGTCAACCATGAGGAGCGTAAGACAGAGGCACAAGTTTCCAAATGAGGTTGTGCAAGTCTCCATCGTTGGAGGTTTTCAAGTCCCAGCTAGATAAAGCTTTGAGTAACTTGATCCAGCCTTACTTTGAGCAGGTGACTGGACTAGAGACCTCCTGAGGTTTCTTCTAGCCTGAATTACCCTATATAAGACATCTATAAACTGTAAAAGGAAGTACATTAA